CCTAGCAGTAGTAACACAGGGCTTAGGAGCAGAAGATGCCGCCGCAGCTGTCGTCACCGCCGTCGTCGCAGTCAAAGATGAGGTAGTAGGAACACCACACGCTGCATCAGGAATGGCGATCACTTCAGCCACGGTGTACACCCGGTGCTTCGTGCCATCGGACCCAAGCACCACGACATATCTATTTTGTGACCAACACTGGGATACGCCAAAGCGCTTCCGAGCAGCAACGAACGCCTCATGACGGCCCTTAGTCAAGAACTCGGATAGAGTAACTCCGCTACCCTTTAATTTGGTTTTAGAAAACCAGACTTTGTCACGGAGATCCTGATCTCGAAACTTCACAAGCAGCGCTCGAGGCTTGTCGCCACGGGGTTGCCCTAAGCGATGGCATCTAGTGATAGAGCTCACAGTAATTTCAGGGATATTCAATCGCTCCGATAATATCTTACTTGTGCAAAGAACTGGGGTTTCATCTCGGGCTTCAGGCACACCATGCACAAGCAACATCTTCCTCCTGGTCCTTACCTCCATTTCATCTTGATTCCTAGAGAGAAGCTGGAGCTGAAGTTGCAAATTTTCTAGTGCTGACAAAACAAATCCCCTAAAGGCGTTAAATTGTGCATTAATGTTGGAAGTAGGGCTTGTTGCAGGGATGGATGTTCTGACCTCCCTCTGGAACTCATCCATACGTGTAGTAAAATTCAGCGTTAGCTCTTCAATTGACTTCTTAAGCAAATCCATTATGAATATTCAATCAAAGGTTATTCAAAGGTCAATGTCAGGTGACAGTGAAGTGGCAATAATAAGTTTTAAGTTGTGCAGTGAAAAACAAATTATTAATAAACAATGCTGGTGGATTTATGTGCTTACAGGTACATTTATATACTTGATTATCCTAGATTTACTATATTTTAACATTAAAATCTCAGGAACAATTTTAAATATGTCAATACACTTGGCACCTACCCACCAAAAAAAAAAAAATTCTAATCCATATTGAATAAATAAGTTTCTGTTTCTGTTTCAGATGACAATGTAATAATCTTTTTTTCCATAAGCCATTAATCATAACGAACGATTTTAACCCTTATGCCACAGCCTGTCTGCTAAAAACCCGTAAAAGAAATTAATTAACCAATAAAAAACCTCTAAAGGTCATTATTTGTGTGAGTAATTAGTTGATGAAATCGTGTATGTCATGTTATAAAAGTAGAAGATAATTTTCATCGCAAAGTGACGATACGACTAAACTAAACAATACAATAAATAGTTTTATGACAAATGTAACAATATCTCTCCTGAAGGAGCTTATTTTTTTATAGGAAAAGGGTCACAAGCGAGCACACAGTCAACTTGATGGTTGCTGTGGCCCATAGACATCTACATTCCTCCTCGTATGCGAATCAAAATGAAGATGCGTTGTCAGCCTTGAGGACTAAGATGGAATGCCTCTAATTTAACTAGTACACACGTCAACGATTAATTTATTTATAGATTTGCAAAAAATATGTTCCTCTGAAAGATAGAGAAATTATTGTTTACCATGTATCGTTGGCTTTATTAGTGTACCGATTGTTTGTTATCATACAAAGACATAAACACGAAGGTTTTGTTTTTAGGTCCTTTTAGTATTAAATACCGATCATGTTTGCAAGTTAAACTCGTGCGAATGCGGTGCCCAAACAGGTACCAAAAGGAAGCTATATACGAGTTGTATTGAAGTTCGTTTTTATACCAAGTGCTGTATTTTCTGGCTGTATAAAGGCTCATACAGTTCTTCTAAGTAAAAAATTGGCACAAATTATACAATTTTGTGTTAGTAGCACTGTACAGTAGATGTACAAGCGTAAACGCGGCTGTATAATAGCTGTATTACAGCTGTTATATGGTATGCAAGGAAAATTTTACACTAAAGATACTTATGAGCAACTTTTAAAGATACGCGTCCTATATTGGGTTTTGAAAAGAAACAGAACAGAATTTATAAAGAACAGTATTACAAAAAAATACAAACAGAAGAACTTTATTTCCGTTGCCTAGCTTGTATTTATATACTTTATTGAATCATAGCGACATTATTTAACGTCAGAGTAAAAATATATTTAACATATAAATATTATACTCGAACTGGAAATGAGTTTTGATGATGATGATTGGTGAATTGAAAGTGCAAAATTAGATTTAATGGTAACTATCAAAAAATTAACAAAATAACCAAATAATATAAGGACAAAATATTAAATACGATAAGTACATATTGATCGTATAGGTTATAATAAAAACAATATTAAACTAAAGGATATGAAGACACATTGGGGCACAGTGATCAATAGACAAATTGAAAATCGCGATAAAAGTTAAAAAATCTGAATAAAAGTTATACAACACTTCTAATTTCACCAAAACAATACATACATACATAAACACTCACGCCTGTCACCCAGAGGGCTAGGCAGAGACTACAGACTTCCATTTGGCACGATCCTGACACACCTCTCTTGCCTCCTTCACATCCATACACCTACGCATACATGCTCGTCGGTTAAGGGTACTCCTAATTTGGTCCGCTTTCAATAAATCGCCAATTTGGTCGATAAATTTTCGCCTAGGACGTCCCTTTCCGACTCTGCCATTCACTTCTGCACCATAAATTTTCTTTGTCACTCTTTCCTCATTCATTATTTCCACATGACCAAACCACCGAAGCATTCCTTTCTTAATCCTGGTCACAACATCATCTTGCAAACCACACTCTTCTCTTATTACACAATTTCTTACCCTGTCATTCAGATTCAGCCCTAACATACTCTTTAACGACCGCATTTCTACTGCGTTCATTCTACTCTCGTGCTTCTTCTGCCACACCCAACTTTCACTACCATACGTTAAAGTAGGGACCAACACAGCATTGTGAATTGCCATACGTGCCTTTTTCGACACATTTTGACTCTTCACAATAGAGTGCAAGGCCCCATTTACTCTATTTCCCGCATTCACTCGTCGTTCCATATCCTTATCATATCTCCCATCCCTGCTAAATACGCAGCCCAAATATACAAACTTATCTACTTGCTCGATCAACTCCCCTTCTATTCTTATTTCACAAATCGTTTTACTTTCTTCTCTTTCAAAAACCATAACCTTCGTCTTACTTGCGTTCACTTTCATACCCCTTTCTTTTAATGATCCGATCATTAATGTAACCATCATTTGCAACATATTTGAATAACTTGATCATCGGCGTACAAAAGGCATTTGACGGTTAACTCACCCATTCTTAATCCGCATTCTTCAACTTTCAAATTTTGCAAACACCTGTCCATAAATAGGTTGAACAGCCACGGGGAAGCTACAGCCCTGTCTGACACCTTTATGGGTGCCAAACCAGTCCGAGTAGACCCCGTTGATTCTAACACAAGCACGAGAGTCCCTATAAAGAGACTCCAATGCCTGTATCAAGCCAGCGCTCAACCCAAATGAGTTCAGTGTTTGCCATAGCACATCCCTATCTACTCTGTCATAGGCCTTTTCCAAGTCCATGAACGCACAAAAAACCTTTTGGTTTTTGGCCAAAAACTTCTCCGCGATCATGCATGGAGAAGAGCATGGAAAAGACTTGATCTGTACATCCCATTCCATTTCTAAATCCCGCTTTCCCAAATTTTTCCATCAGTTTCTTTCATGACCCTTTCAATCAGTACCTTAGCATACAGTTTTCCCACAATGCTAAGAAGGCTGATGCCAAAACAATTTTTCCACATATTGATAACAAATTAATTTTGTTCACTAGCACAATATAAACACGCAACGCATGCAAAATGGCGATATTATCACTTATACAGATTTAAATTGTACCTATGCCTGTTATGTTTTCAGTTTTATATCACCCTTATAGACAGAAGTTATAAAATTACTGTTTTTGCAAGTGTACAATTATGCCATAAAAAAAAGTTTTAGAAGGGAGTTTGCATAAATTGTTCAGAAATAAGATTTGAGTGATACTATAATAAGGTTCTCGAGTGGCAGCCTAGTACCGGTAGGCGTAGTGTAAGGCGACCCCCCACTAGATGGAGTGACGACCTGGTAAGATATGCAGGAGGTCGATGGATGCCAGTAGCTCAGGACCGTGCTTTGTGGCATTACTTGGGGGAGGTCTATGTTCAGCAGTGGACTTGTGAAGGGTTGTAATGATGATGATGATGATGATACTATAATAATACTTAGAGCTGTATAAGCAAGTGGCAGCATGCAAAAAACAGCTTCTATACAACTTTAGTGATAAAATCAGATTCTCCTATTACAAAATACTTAAAGTTGTATACTAGAGCTTTCATATTATTCTGATTAAGAACCTTAAGCTTACTCAGATCCCATAATAAAGACTTTATACAATTTGAGCAGTATAATAACTCATAAACCACTCTTATAAGGATATAACCACTTTTTAACACTCTTATACGCTTCTAAAAGAACTCTAAGTTCCATGTGGGCTTGTATATTGATGTTCGTAACGCGTATGTGCTGCTTGGGTGTGCGTGTGAGTGCGTATATACAACATGTAACAAAAACCCTGTGGTTCCAGTTAAGCGCGTTATCAGAATCAGTATCCAAGCGCATAGAAATAATTTTTTTTCAAAAAAAAAAAGCGTATAGCAATAATTAAAAAAAACTAATTTAAAAAAATTAATTTTAATGAAAAAGAAATTGTAAAAAATAAATTGTACATGGTTTTATTATCTCTGCATTGGCCGAGGAGACAGAGGATTGTCAAAGACCCGGCATTACCGATAATCGTGTGAGTTAGAGAAAATAAAACCACATACAATTTACAAATTAATTTTTCTTCTTTAAAATTAATTTTTTTAAATTAGTTTTTTTTTAAATTATTGCTATACGCCTGAATACTGATTATGATAACGCAGTTAACGGGAACCACAGGGTTTTTGTTACATGTTGTATATGTGTGTGTGTGTGCGTATGTGTGTTGGTGTGTCTACCTGTAACTGTTGTGCGAGCTCCTCGGCGTGTCGCTGCGCCATTATCATAGAATCGCGTGCAGCGCCCGCGTCGCAGCGTGCTTGAGCAGTTTCCCGCGCGAGTGTGTTCATTTCGGCTTGCAGAGCCGTCAGTTGCTGCACTAGCGTCGCCTCAGACTAATCAACATTGTTAATCATAAGCCAAATTTGTACCGTGTAGTGGCGGTGTAAGAATATTCACTACCCTATATCATCCAGTGGGTGTCGTAAGAGGTGAAAGAATTAAACAAATCGGGAGATGGGTAGCAGCGTCTTCCTAAAAACGAATAAAAATAAACAACTGCAGTTGCCAACCCGCTTGCTAAGCGTGGCGCCTTGAACGAATTAACCACTGGACCCGACATAAAACACAAATGTATGAAAACTCGTTCAACCAAGTGGAGAATAACGCACACAAAGATTTTATTACGTTAATATAAACATAGATACGAAATTCGAAGAAGTTCACTCTCTTTCTAGTGCTTGAACGTAGTCGATAAAATATATCGATGAACGACTGAGAAAGAAAAGGCGTATCGTAAATAAGCTTGTAAGACAAAGGAAATAAAGGGATAATGAAGGTGAGGTAAGCTTCCGGTATTTAAAAAGTAATTAAAATAAAAAAAGCAGGACATTTTTACGGACTTTTTATTCAGTTAGTTATGATAAACGTCAAATTTTTTGTTAAGTTTAAATTATTTAAATATATCTTTTCCGTGAAGGTTTTAATATGTATCATCTTTCTTAAAATGTGTTTCTTAGAATTTGTTTTGTTCGCTTGTTTTCTTATATAAGCAATTCTGATATTTATATACTTTACAGCAATGGCTTTCGTTAATTCTTCGACGTGATTCACGTTGTCGCTTTCAAATTTATAGAAATGAATGTCTTCGTACAACGGAAGTTGCAGCAATGTTTCTGTTAATTTCGGCAGGAGAAAGTCTGTTGTGTAATCTTTTTTTAGTCTTTTATTCTGAACACTCTTCGTAAGTTCGATTTCGCAGTGCTGACAAATAGCTATGGTATAACTTGAGGGAAGTATCAGTTTTCCCTTGTCTTTACGGCAATGAGACTGCCTTCATTGGTACCATTTTGTGTTTCTTTGCATTAGTATTAAAACAGGCAGTATCGAAATGTACACTGCATATAGCGCTGTGTTACGTACCCATTTTCTTTTCCAAGAAGGGTCACTAGGAAATCTGAAAATTCATGTAATTTATGTGTTTAAATATTTTAAGTACATATACTAATTATAATTTTTGCATTTATAATATTTTTATTTAATTATAAAAATTACTATTATAAATTTAATGACATCAGATTGTAGGATACTGTTATATAAGTATTTTAAGTGTTATTGTATTTTACAAATAACATCATCCTTCATTCGGTCATATGTCAAATATCGATATATTTTTCAACATGGTCAAGCACTAGTCGATGTCAAATTGACTCACTCCACAGTTTTTGTCCTTCGTTCTGAACGGTATAATTCACCCATTTTGTGATGGTTGTCAGATGTCAACAATACATAATATAAGAAATATCGACTATATTTAACATAGTTGGATAATACAAAATTTTATTTTACATTTGATTAAATTTTGTGATAAATAACAATAAATGTAATAAAATAATGTACTTACAAGTGAAAAGAAATAGTGCTGCTTCCGCCGCTATAGCTTTTACACTATTTAACTGAACATTTAGTCATTTTTGGGAGATGTTTTGTTGACAAGTGAGTGCTGAGACTGACGCAAAAACAAACGACCAAGGCTAGAATTTCCTGGTTACTGACAAGACCGATATAGGTAAGTCCGCTTATATTATGTCGGGTCCGGTGGTTAATTCGTTTAACCGTGGCGCCTATGGCAAATATCCCCCCTATAAGGGGGAGGCCTATGTTAAGCAGTGGACTTATATTAAAAATTGTGATAGACTGGATTAAATCGATGAGTCCTAAAATGTAATCAAATAATTAGATAGTAGTCTTGGTTGCCTGGTATACATGAGAAACTTGGAAATAATTGATTACTTAAGCTCAGTAGTATTACACAGTCATGTTAAATTATTAAGATTGTGTTACTTAAACTAGTTTATAATCATTACACTATATTATTACATAATTTTGGACAATATCAATAATCAATAAATAGGCAAAATAATAGATTTTTTTATACAATTAACTTACTTCTGACAATCTCTGGATGTGCATTTCCATTTGAACTCGTTGCGCCTGTGCTTCTCCCTCGGCGGCGAGTTTTGATTGTAGCTGTTGGTATAAAATTAATGTTTTACTGCAGCACACATTTCTTTAAACATAGTCAATTGTGTAGGAATGATTTACAAATAGTATTAAAAGTATATGACATACTTCATTATCCGCCCCTTATACAGCTGGACTTGGGTCTCTCCCATTGTAATCGCCACGCTTGGTAGGCAGACTGACAGTATTTTTTTTATAGGATAGGTTGACAAACGAGCATACAGTCCACCTGATGGTAAGTGGTTGCTGTGGCCCATAGACATCTACATCTATCCTCGATTACAAATCAAAATGCAGATGCGTTGTCAACCGTGAGGACTAAGATGGAATGCATCTAATTGCACGTGTGTAGTCACCCCCGAGGTTTCCGGGCCTCTAATCTTAAACTTAATACTCGGCAGCGTTAACCTGGTAAATATTCAAACTCGTTACACTTTCTTGTAGATTTTACACAAGCACTTGGCCTTTGCGGGATACGAAGCCACAACCTCAAAATACTGCAGTGAAACGCTTAGTGGTACTATGTGTGTATGTGTGTGTGCGTATGTGTGTGTGCGTATGTCGGTGCGTGCGTACGTACGAGCAACTTCTGCGCGAGCGCGTGGTTGTCGTCGAGCACGCGCTGCAGCCGCGCCTGCAGCGTGTATATGTGCGTGCGTGTGTCGGTGCGTGTGCACGTGCTGTGTGCGTACGTACGAGCAGCTTCTCCTGTGCGAGCGCGTGGTTGTCGTCGAGCACGCGTTGCAGCCGCGCCTGCAGCGTGTGCAGTTCGGCGCGCGCCGCACCTGCCGCCGCCTCGGCCGCGCGGCTTGCCGCCGCTGCGCGCCCGCGCTCCGCGTTCAATGTCGCCCTGCACCGATACCCCGTTATGATCAACATATACAAATACTACTCAATGAGGACCTATCATTTTACGCTCACTAGATTTTTTTTATAAAATATAGATAACAAACAAGCGCACACAGTCCACCTGAAGGTAAGTGGATGCTGTGACCCATTGACATCTACATTTTATTTCCAGTAAAAAGGGTATCTGATTCTCTACACTTACCATACGAAACACAGCAGCATTAAGCTACTATTTGACCCTGGAATTCTGTGAGAGCGTGGTCTTACCCCGGTCGAGTCGACCCATTCATGCTACAACCATTACACCTGCATATGTATACACCTGCAGCATGACTCTATTAAGCAAAATGCGAAATTGAGAATGAGATGAAGTTATTTGTAACACAAGGTCATTTTAATTCAGAAATTGCATTTTAAATAAAAGTTTTTCGATTTCTAGTGTGTAAGTGCACAAAAAATGACTCAGTGAATTGATCTAACTTTTTGTACTTTCATAGGTAAATCAGTAATTATAATAACTTATTTGAGAATTTTATGTCAAATTCAATGCTATTTTTGGAACACAAAGCATAAGTCACGTGATCAGTGTTGTTAATTATTTATAGGGAAAGTTACCCGAAATTTGGTAAATTGCTATTTTTGACACGGATACAGTATATATGTTTGCCCAACAGCGTCTTAAAGTAGTTTTATGTGCACACTTTTTGTGTTAAAATTTTCCTAACAAATTACCCGATCGATTATAATGCAGTTTTATGCAATTTTTAGTTCATTGTGTTGCGCTGCAATCGTGATTTTATTTTTTACTATGTTACCATTGCCTCAAAATTGGACCGATGATAATGCTCACTACAGGTTCACAGAAGGTTCTTAAATGGGTTTTACGACCATAGTTCACCACAGAGTGCTGCAATCGTGATGTAATTTTTTTTCCATGTTTAACTTAGTATATAAATCTTTATTATATTATATTCTTTAAAGTTTCCTAAAACCAATGAAGCATAAAGAAAAAACTTAATTAATATAACTAAAGAAAGTAGAAACGAAAATGATAAGCTTCCAACCAAATCGAGTGTAATTTGCAGCGTCCATTTTGATACTAAAGGTTTATACATAACGAAATAAGAACCTCGAAAGTAAAAGACAGTTGTTTAAAAAAATATTCAACGAAAGGGTTGCATATATATGCTTGTCATGAAAATGAGTAAATTGTGGTAATTATTTATGACTTATTATCATAAATAATAACTATAATTTACACTTACAGCTTGGGAAGGTATTACTCTAATTATTCAAGCTTTTTAATTTTTTAATTACTTAATAAAAACAGCTAAATATGTCGTGGGCTCTTCTCATGGCGTATTTGGCCTCTCAAGATTACTTATTGAGAAACGACATACATTAAATTTACGAAAATATAATGTATGTACACAAAAACAAAAATAGTTTTATTAAAAAGTTATACCAGCTACTCCACTCAAAAGAGTCAGTAATTCCTTCATGTGACAATGTACACACTTTCACAACAAAGCCCTAGAAAATACGCAGGCCTTATCTATCAAAGTTACTAAGCAAAAATTGTTTAGTAAGGGTCATTAAGGTATACTACTAAAGAGGACATGATTGATAATAATCCCTGAGAATGAGGTGAATGCTACCATGCTGTTTTTAAATGTTTTCATACTAACTCTCAAAATAATATATTTTGAATTAATTTTATTTAAAAAAGTCCCGCTGGGTTTCTTGATGCTTCTTCCCAGGACAGTGTTTATTCCAAACCAGTGGTAAAGCCTAAATGACTTTCAATAAGTATTCTTGTAATCTGTATTGAATTAAAATGATAGATTCATTTCTATCCTAATCATTTTGGGTTCCCTACTAATGGTAAAAAGAATCTAGCTCATTAGTAATTAATTATCACCATCACGTCTTATATTTTATTAACGTTCATATTATATGTAAACCATTTTTCGATTCCCTAACAAAGATTCTATTACATTGGTTTTCGTTACCTATTTATAATATTTCGTAATTAAAAAAAAAAAAACACTCTCTTATATTAATTAGTATTTCGTCAAGGTTATGTTATATTTTGACAGAATGTTTTATTTAAAAGATGGGGTAATTTTGTTTCACATGATACCCAAATTTAATAAAAATACACCAATCTTGATCTGTCTCCACTCTTGTTTCATATTCAGTGCTGACAAGGACGTGTTTAACAAAGCACACAGAAAGCATACTACCGCTAGATAGATTGTATGACATAATATGCAATTGCACACCTTCTGTGGTTTTGAAAAGAGCCGTTTGGGTTTGCTTGAGATATTTACAAACAATACAATACATGAACAAAGTACAAACAAACTATGTACAAAGTTAAAAAAAGGGACGCCTGGCCGATGTGAAACCTCGAAATTATATTTTGTTTAAGTTATATGCATAAAAGAACAGATTACGGCAGGAATTAGGTAGTTATAATGAGAAGATAAAGCTTTGCTAATTTTTTACCATAAAATAATGACTATTTATTATAATTATAATTATTCATTTTCAATTCATAATAAACCGTACAAAATAATATTTTTAAACACATATATCACTATAAATTAGCCGATAGCGTATTTGTGCCATCTAGCGTAATCTTTAGGTACCATCGTGAGAATCAACCAATTTTCGTTCGATAAAATGACTTTACGTATAGAATTAAGTAGATGGCGCCATTAAAATTTTATATACTGAAAAGTAGACAGAGAAACCTAACTGGAAATAACTAAAGGGAGTACTATTCTTTAAAAACCTCAATACATTCTTCTGTATTCTTTTAATTTATTTAATTAAAATTTGGGCTTCACGTTAAAAAAAGATTGTAACACTTATTTCCTCTAAAATTATACCTAGGTCTCATACTTTATGCTGCTGTTCAAATTGATATTTTTAATTCGTATGGTAATATTAATATTGAGTTATTAAACCTTTAAATACGCCTAACTTAATTAAACTTTAATACCAAAGAGTCCTGTACCTATATTTAAAGTATGAAAAAATGTTAATTGAATATTAAATTTCATTTTTAAAGATTTTTACCTTTTCTTCGCCGATTAGCACTTCAACACAATGAACACTATTATCCTCCAATTTTCACTGAAAATCTTCGAAAAAGCATAAATTTTCAACAAACACAACAAAAACAAACATAAACATTGAAATGTGAAGTGAACTTGCATACGAGGGGCCCGCAACCACTTCGCTAGTCGCTAACGCACTCCTAAACAACTTCATGGCAAAGCCAGGCTTGTTGGCTCAATAGTAATTGCTATATAAACATTTCGTAGTTATATTTCATTATAGAATATTTTGCCATAGGTTAGAAAGAGAGCGATCATCTTTTCGAAAGCCCCGTACAAAGCCCACGCGAGTGAGTGAGACAACTAATCGCTCTATTAAAACTCACTTTATGACAGCAGCAGTATCGCCACAGAGTACCTTTGTATACACGTATCGCTAAGGCAATACGAGGTCATCGGTCGACATGTGTCGAACAGTGGAGTGCGCGGGAAAATTGAAATAATTTGAAACAGTTTAGGAGTTATTTCATTAGTTGATATTATTCATTGATTCAGTTTTAATAAGGCAAGCCCGGCTTTTCGGCTTTAATGGAAGCTTCGCCACTGATGATAACCCTTTATAGCAAACATTCTTGCACCGCCACCATTGCAGTGCATCAGCCCTTTCTAAACAAAATTCAGTCCGCCTTTTTTATACGTCCATGGGCCAGACAAAGAACCTCATGATCAGCAATCGAAGCATCAGCAACGAGCACTAGGCCAATGAGGCAGTCAATATGCTAATCATCTATTTAGGACTAAGGTGAACTTATATCTTTAAAAAGTTACGATTTCAATGTAAGTTTTTGGTTTCTTATTCTGTATTCTTTAATATTTTTATTAATACACATTTTTTTAATTCTCCTACTTTTGGAAATATCTATGATTATCCATTTCTAGTCTAACGAATATAAATTATAACTAATATTTCAGAAATGAACATTAATCTGTTTACTTTTATAACAAATTAGCGTATCGCTATCAAATCTGTCAAATATTTGAAAATAATATACGAATTCCTGTGCGTTTCGTTCGTTGACCCCAGACAGGGTGGAACGAACACGCATTTCCGAGTATCTAACCTAGGGTCGATTTCTTAGGGTGGATAAATGGAATAACCCCTAATAAATTTCTAACGGGCTCCGTCCTGGTGACAGGAAAGACGTGGATGCCCTCATTAATTTTATACTAGTGGTCGCCTCATGATCAAAATTCGACCTATATTCATTAAATCTTTAGGTTGGTATATTAAGCAAGCTGTATTTGACTTTCATCTGCACATATATAAAACAGATATCTAATATACAAAATATAAAATAAACACTTTAAGTGTATGTTAACACTCAACTTTTTACTATTAAAAAGGAACATTTGAAATCACACAAAATCCAAGCTTTTTCAGTCAGTCTGTTAGTAACTAATTGTTGGCAATCTTTATAAATTCTGTGGCAACAATCTTTACTTCTTGCGACTGTTAATATATTATGTATGCGTTACAGCCCTGCACAATGTATTTGACTTTAGGAACTGTTCAAACGAAAATTATAAATAAGCAAAACTACTAAATTAAGGTTTGTTAGTAATCCGCTTTACTAATAACCTATTTAAAAGACCGGCATTTTTTTAAATATGGTGAGAACGAGTAAATGATGGTGAGTCCACCTAATGGGAAGTGGACGCTGTGGCATGAGGACTTAAATGGAATGCCTTATTGTCATAATTATTGTTACGAGCTTGAGGTTCGTGACAATAAAAATTGCTGACTGAATTACCAAAACTTACACTTTTATTACCGAACACCTATAGACACTAATAATTAATCACACTGATTCACTTTATTTCGCTCCGAAGCTTCGCTTGTCTCGCCAAATTCAATACTGCCCCGATCGCGTCTTGCAGCGCCTTTAAATACACCTTTTCCACCGAAACATCCAGAATATTCAAGTAAATACGGGCGCCGAACGACCAGTCGCAAAAAGTTCGAGTGTGGGGCTTCTAGAAAGCTTAATTCTTCTGTTCGATACTAGATGGAGCTGTTGGTCGAAAGTTCAAGATTGACATTTTCTAGGAAGCCCTCCTCGTTCTGGTCCCGACACTAGATGGTGCTAGTAAGTACATGCCGTCAGGCGCGCAACATTATAATATTAATTGAATGAAACTAACAGGGCCATCAGTCCTGCAACTGTCATACCATAATTCAGTTTATTTGGAATAGAGTCTTTATATTAGGTTGTTTATTGTTATTATGAAATGTCTTACCACATTCTTTGTCACAAATATGTTATAAAATATAATGGACATTTAATATTTTAATTCAAAAAATGATGCTTACCGAAGTTCCTTTAGCTTAGCATGAAGTGCTTGGGAAGCTTCTATCTCATCTGCAAGAGCCTTTTCTTTTTCTGCAAGTTGCTTCTTCATTTTTTGCATAGGGTCATTCGGGCCCTGGTGATAAATAAATCTTATATTATTACTTTAAATATGTAGAGAGCATCATAAGTTTTTGGTCTGTGGAAATAAATTTATATCAGTGGGAAGTTTATTTAGTCTGTACATATTAGCTAAGATAGTGTAGGCACACCTGGAGGCGTACTTGTTATTTTTAATTTAACTTTATTACTTTTTATTGTGTTTGTTAAATAAATGTTTTTCTATTCGAAGAATAAAATAGAGTAATATTTTATTATTGCATATATACATGTTTGATTTTTATTGTAAAAAATAAAACACAAATAAGTCGACTGTACCAAGAAATTGAATATCGCACCAGTCATTAATTTCCGAGAAAAGAAGAATAAGCTACAGAAGAAATTAAGAAAAGATGAGTCGTGTATGGGGAACACTGCAGCATCTTAATCAACTCTCAAACTAATGATAATGTTTCGTAACCTGATCGTGGCCCCATTTTTAAAACTGACGATAAATTAAAGGCCGCTTTGATTAACTAGTTCGGCTACTAAAACTCCCTACTTTAGACAGCCTTGCCAGCCTTCACTTCGTAGTACCGTCGCGTCGCATACAATGTAGCTTTTCTTATATAAGATGGAGCAAAAGAAGTATATGGCTCATCTAATGGTGACTACCGCCGCCCATGAACAACTGGAACACCAGGGGAATTGCAGATAAGTTGCCGGCTTTTTAAAAAAGATTACCCTCTTTTCTTGAAAGCCATATGGGGTTATAGACAATACTTACTAATGAATAAATAAATACCTTTGAAATATACTGACAACGGCTCATAAAGCATACATTAATATGTACTACAAAGAGACTTAAAATTTGATTTCAACAAAGTTAGTAGAGAGGCCTACTGGTGAAATGACATTTTGCAGTGTTATTATTGTAGTATACATATTAAATAATGTTATTTCTGAAGTGTTTAAGAAGTAAGTTATTTACGCAAGTATGCAAACCTCAGTCCATTCAGAGTGTTCCGGCAACGGATCATGGTGTTTGTTCAGTAGAGCATCAGTCAATATCTGGATTTCGGTGCGCGAGAGCGTAGCATCACGTACAACTCGTACCAATTCGCTGACTGCAACACCGCCGCTGTCGCTAGCTGGAAATAAATATCTAATATTTCAAGGTGTTATTCTTGTTAGTGGTTTTACTGGATACTTTTATGATTCTTTTTTTTTTAAAGAATATTAACAATGCTATAAACATTACTAATATTCCCCTTAACCACTCTAAGCTTAAATTGCTGTGTTATTCAGTAGTCAAACGGCGGATCGAACCCACGACCTTTTTGAGTTCGCGGTCCGCGCCCGGCCATTAGGCTACTGTCGCTTCTAAAAGTTTATAGAGGCAAAGTAATAATGATTGTGCTGTTTTAAAACCTTTTTCAAATATAAATAAATTTAGTACAGTATTTATTAACTTAAAGCATATATATGTCTGACTGTTGGGCACAGGCCTCCTCTCATTTCTATGAGGGTTTTCTTCAGAGCAACTAAATGTCTGCCGCGCTGCCCCAATGTCCAATTTCACATATCTTCGAAATATTTAGTCTTATTTGTCAGACGTGCATGTTTCCGCACGATTTATTTCGGCACAGGGTAGATCGCGTTACGTTGAGTGGCGTGGTGCTTCCCTCTCCAAACTCTCTCACGTAGCGCAGTCGAGGGAAGCCCGGTCGACGGAGCCCCGCGAAGCGGGGCTCCTACTTCTGAGTGGTTTATAAAGAATTAACCACGAAGGATATGGTGGGGTCCATTCGCTCGCTTCACTAGCTCACTTAACCCCGCCATCTTCTTCCAACCTAACCTGTCCGAGTCGGGATGCCCGAAGTCCCGAGATTGCATCGCTCGATCTTACACTCAATAAAAAGTTAATAAACAAACATTATTTAATTTTTTCCCGAGTCAGGATGCCCTTAGCATGACTCGATCTTACACTCAATAAAAACCAAAATGAAAAATTAATAAACAAACATTTTTTAATTTTTTTTCCGAGTCGGGATACCCTTAGTTCCGAGCTCGCATCGCTCGATCTTACACTTAATAAAAACCAAAATAAAAAATTAATAAACAAACATTTTTCAATGTTCTTTTTTTTTAAATGTTCGTATTTTTGTGTAGATTATGAAAAAAAAAATATAACACTTCATAAAAAAAGTATACGCGAATGAGTGCATTTTCATGAACATTTAAAGCCTTGAAATCAATATATAATTCCTTTTTTTATTCTCGTAATTATTTTCGTAAATCCGCCGTAATAATGAAGATTTAAAAAAAATCATCGAAATCGGATGATTTTTCGATTTTCTAGAGGCCAAAAACGAGGTGACCGCGATAGTATAAAATTGAGTGTATACCTAGAAAACACCCCCCTCGTTTGTGCTGTATAAAGCTCACTATAGGCAATGTGCAGGAGAGAGTTCACTTCAGTTCTACAAGTGTCTAACTCTCATAGTCCAACAGGACGGTAATACTACCGGAGAGAGATCAGGGGCAGGACCAACGGCTTTACGAAGTTTCTGAGGCAAGGGGATGAAATGTCGCCAACTTCGTGACTCCCAGACTATTTACTGAGAATTTCTAGACAGAAAATCCCAACTTTTAACTGATTTTGGCCCAACGCAGGATTCAAACATAGTATGGTGGTTCTTCTGATGCAGGCAAGGAGGATGGAGGATGGTGTCAAACTGTAATTGTTCTATATTGAATGTATAGCAAATCCCCCAAATCCCCCTATGAAGCAATCTATGGGAGAGGCTTTTGTTCAGAAGGGGATTTTCATAAGCCGTATGTGTTTTCATAAGCAGCAGGGGATTTTCATAAGCTGTATGTGTTTTCATAAGCAGCAGGGGATTTTCATAAGCTATAATGAATGAATGATGAAAGAAAATAAATAAATAAATTTAACGGGAGCGAGGTTATGCAGATGGTAAAGAGCATATAAGTTTCGTTATAATTTTACCCATAAGCGAGAGCACATTGGGCTCGGCTTTTTTCTTCTTGTTCTTGCCGCCGGGTGGCGAGGGCGCGGGCGGCGCTGCTACCGGCGCAAGCGCCTGCTTCAGCAGTTTATCCGTCGTCAGTTCACTCGGTTGCGGAGCGTTCAGTGGCGGCACCACTTCTTCAGCAGTGACTACGGTTTCCTCGCTGGTGCTCTTTTTCTCTCCTTTTTTGACTGTCAAAGTTAAGGAATTTTAAAGACTAGTAATGGCGATTGTAGATTTTTACGTAAAAAAATGTCCGGAGCGATCTCTAGCCAGTAGTAAAGCTAAAAATATAAAGAAGGATGGCCAAATCGTACCAGACAACGAAATGATAGCGTCCGAATATGAAATATTTATGTAAAATACCCTTATTGTTTAAGGTCTTAAAACACACTAGAAATACCTTTCTAAGTAGCCACAAAAAAAAATTATCCATTTATTTCTATTTTTGTAACTGTTCAAAATTATTTCAAATTATAGTTTCAGAACGCACCTAATGACGATTCATTTCGTATTCAAAGACTATAATTATGCATGTTTATAAATTATTTTAGTTTATAATTTTATAAATAGTTGTTAATTTTAATTCAATTCAATTAGTATGTAGACATCAAATCAACTACTATGCTGATTTATTATGTATTGGATTCTTGTCATAAAAATAATTATGTAGGTCATAGGAAGCTTAACGTTTTGTTCAATTACATATGTACACCGGAACGTCATTTGTCATCGCTTACTCTGTGATCATCGATTCGCGCCAGTATTATTGTTAAATTGTTATTTCTTATTTCCTTCTGTTGTTTTGACCTCGGTATTTTTTTACGGACTGATTTTCTCACATCTTGGATAATTGTGAGAAACATCATGCAAACACAACAAAGACAACTAGGTGTGCGATTGCTTTGTGTTAATTGTAACATATGCATTGATAAACTTCGCCACCATCTCGTTTTTGGGCTTGATACAAGAGTAATTTCTAAGATCTGCGAGTAGAATTCTTCAATAATAGTATGTATTTACATACCTACTTATTTTATTACACTAACATAATACATCATCATAATACAACTCTAATTCTTATTTTAGATCACTGAAGAAGATTACGTATGTGATGCCTTTCAGCAATTGGCAATACAGCATGTCAACTCCAGGTTACCTAATGAACCTGGTGCCTCATCTTCCCGTGGCCACAAGCATGTTTGAATACTTTGTGGAAGTTCTCTTAGGACTCGTAAATGTGATGTTGTTGTGAGAGAGAATCCACCTCAGTTTCAACAATCAATACATTTTTAGCTTGAAAATAGAATTGCCCCACGGCAGGTAATAATTACCTTTTTATTTTGTACTTTTTTTTATTTTGTCTTGGTATCAATGCTATAGTGAATTTATCACTGCAATTATATATTGTTTTGTAAAAGTGTTTCTGTTTGCTCGGGTTTAATAATAATTAGCCAAAACATTTATATTAAGACAAAGCTGTATGGTTGTTTCAGGCAACTTTAACAGACCATGTTTGTCATCCCTGTTGGCTGAGACTCAAGAGAGTTGCAACACGCAATATGCAGCAGACAGAGCCAGAGCTGGAGCAGGAGCCAGAGCCTCAACCCCAAGAACCTCAAAGCCCACCAAATACCGACCAGCAAGATGACGAAATACCTCGGGTGATTAGTTTGCCGCAGTATAGACGAGCGGCAAACACTGCAGCACATTGTGTTTTTTCTGGTTGCCAGAACACAGATTTGCATAGAATTTCTGACTCTCTAAGAGCAACAACTCTTAGCAAACACAAATATTACTTGCCTATAAATGCTCGTATTTGTGTAGAGCATACATTTAGTACTGATTGGGATATGTTGTTCAATTCTCAAAATAGTTTGAGAACATTTACGGCTGAACAAGTGGAACATGCTCTTTCTTTTATAAATGCTTTCAACACATTTCTTGATTTCTCGAATATGGAAAGTGTTGAAAGAATTGATGAGCATTTGTTTCATTATTGGCTCGGAATGAATAAACAACAATTTGAACTTTTACTATATGAAACACCCCGTCTTGTAGAAACAAATAGAGGCATTTTAGGTTTAGGTGCTCTTCTAATGAAGATGTAAACTGGTGAATCAGATGACCGGTTATCACAGTTATTAATGGTTCCAAGGCGAACATTAGAAAGATTAATGGATAAGGTTAGGGAAATATTGGTACAAGATTTTGTGTCTAGAAATCTGGGAATTGAACACAAGATTTTGTGCCTAGAAATCTGGGAATTGAACACATATCACGTGAGCAATTATTGTAACACAATTTAATGATTCCAAATGCAATTTATAATCAAAATAATGAAAATGCGATAGTTATATGTGATGGGACATATATTTTTATAAACAAAAGTTCCAATTATATGTTCCAAAAGGAACCTTACATAAATACAAAAACTTGTTAAAACCATTTTTGCTGGTGACACCTGATGGATACATTTTAGACTGCTTTGGCCCATACAAAGCTACCACAACTGATGCCGATATAATGAAGTCTCTTTTCAGAGATGAAAACTCTCCTCTCAGACAATACTTTCAAAATAACGATGTTTTTATTCTAGACTTATTTAGAGATTCAATTAGTTTGTTAGAGGCTTGCAGCTACAGAACATATATGCCAGAATCCCTGCTTGAGGGTGAACATCAGCTCACCACTGAGCAAGCTAACAGGAGTCGTTGTGTGACCATATGCCATGCAAGTGATGATATTGAAAATACAGAATGATGATTATGCGATAACCTTAATGCGTATGAATATTGTTATATTAATGATGATTTTTGCCATAGTTGCTACACTTGTGGCAACCAAAGTTTTTTGTGGTATTCTATAGGAAGATGCCGCTGTCCATCTCCTGATATTTTTATTTTACTCTGTCGACTTTTACAACACCATATGGGACGGGGTGGCAATTCACGAAAGGCCTGTGTAATATTTTACATTATATATTTAGTTTAGGAGGCCTATGTTGAGCAGTGGACTGTCACAATGATGATTAATAATGATCAATTAAAATTGGGTGCGTTTGGCAGAAAAAAGCGCTAGCAAGCGCTTATAAGCGCTGAAATAGTTTTCGGCAAGGACATGATTGCTACTTCAGTAGCGCTGACACAATCCACCATTTTGCTTATTTTATTTGTTTGTTTTGAAGTAGAGTTTATAAGTTGTTTTGAGCAATATTAGTTTTAAGTAATATAATGACATGAATAAACATATACATGTTATTAAAAATTCATGATTGGTAAGTTTTTAATATGAATACTTTACAAACATATATTTAAATTAGGTTAGGTTCCCCGGTTAAAACTAACATCGTGTCCTGGAGGAAAATAGCTACTTACGATTTGACAGCGCTTACCGCTTACGATCGCCATTTTGCTTACAAGCGCTTGCTAGCGCTTTTTTCTGCCAAACGCACCCATTGTAATGTTGTTTATTTTACCTATTTCAATTTTACTGTGTGCTTTTATTTTCTGATGTTATATGTGTAATTTATAAATAAACACCGAGCAAAGTTGAATTTAATGCTCTGGCACCCTTTTTTATCTCTTTTAATTCACAATCTCCTTCTGATTTATAATTATATAAATGGGTAAGTATCTCTAGACATTATATTTTAATGATGTTTGGAATTTATACTTGCTAATAAATGAATACTTTAATAAACAAAGGGCCCGCACTGCACCTATCTACTGTGTTATTTTTAAGAAAGGACTTATAAAATGCCGACGATTTTTAGAATAATAAATGCAGAGCATATTATACGTGATGTTTGGGATTTATAGGACAGATGTAGGGTGCGCTTTGAGAGATGCCCTATTATTGTGTGATAAATAGTTGTTGTATGGTTCCACCACATATATTTATTTAGCAAACACTGCAACGAGCTTTAAGTCGCATGTATGAAGTTATATTATTTGCAGTAGGACCATATGGATTCAACAGGAAAGGTCCTATTATAGTGAACATGTCAGGTTTCACAGAGGGTATCGAATTGAAGGACAGTTGGGTGATGTGCACATGTTATGACGCTTGTGTGGTACCTTGGGTGGGCCAGGCATCAGCCGACAATATCGCCAGTGCCAACATCACTCCTTGATTTTGTAGATATAAGAGAGGATGATGAATAAAAAGTAATTTTGTCTAGCCTACTTGTTTCATTAAAGTACTCCTAAATTATAAATTCTACCATTACACTTCATTTATTCCCGTAACCTACCATTACTCGATTTTTCAATACATATGCAACTTTAGTATTGAAGACTGAAAGACAGTAGGTATCTAGCGACTAACTCTTTTCAGCTTGAATTAAAATGCTCAAACTACAAAAAAGCCTTGAAATCTTTTAGGAAAGACTTCGTGTGATAATAATTACGCCATCCTTGTTTTTTACACTACATACTGTGCAAGCTAGTGCAATACATGTAGGTGTAGTTTTTATTGAATTATCGGTCATAATTTGTTGTCGAAACGGTCAACTTCACGAGATGGTTTGACAGACGGCCCTTTTTTGATTTGACATCGAACTTTAGGGAGTATAGTGCACATACGTAGGGTGCGCTTTGAGAGATGTTCTATTATTGGGTAATATAATTATTTTAACTACACTATTAGGCTACGTCGCAGTCGGATAAAGCGTCCAAGCAAGGTTTTTCGTTAAAAATCAAAGTGTACAATAAATTGCCCTAAAAAATAACAAGACTTCGTTTCGACAAGTGACAAAAACATAATTTATGAATCACGCTTTCTATAATAGTACCAGGTTGACCGAGCTTTGCTCGGTATTTTTCGCTCGGTTTTTTTCAATTCGTGTGTTTTGGAAATTATATTTAGATACAAATTACATACTGATGAAATACGAATAATATTTTTTGATCTTAGCGACATAATAGAAAAAATTGAACTGGTTATTTGAATAAAAAATCATGAGTGCAATTAGTTTAATTTAAATTTTCGTGTGTTTAAAAAATATTAAAAAAAGGGCTCGAAAAAAATAATAATAGATAATAATAGATTTTCACTAAAAATAAAAGGGACTTAAAAAAAAATTAAAATAAGTCGGTCGGTTGGTCTGGGCTCGCACCATGGTATTACGATTTTGTAACCGCCCAATATACCAAATAAGCCATTTGTAATCATTAATAAACTGTCAAAA